AAAGAACATCCTCCATGATACCTTTAAAGAAAATAAATTAATTTAAGAAGACATATAATTCTTTGTATGTATTTTAGGGGGTTACCAGTCTCAGGCGGATATATTTTGGGATCACATGCTGGAATGCACTAGAGAAAGGCTTCCCAACACGGGGGTTGTAAAATGTCCAAAGCAATGTATGAATAAATCATGAATTATGGAGATATTTTATTCATATTGATTAAAATATTACAGTAAATTCGAAAATGCACAACTAAATAATTAAATAATCCATTAAATGATTAAAAAAATAAATTATTAATTAATTATTAATTTGCGAGTCTATTGCATGGTTATTTTGGGGTTACACGCTGAGTTTACTTCCTTATATCGACCTGCCTTATAATGGTGAGACAGTTAAAATAGGACCATGCATGGTTTGAAAAATATTAGCCCTAGATTACTCCTACTGTATATAGCTATTACTACTGATAATAACACAACAAAATCTGCAGAGAATCTCTGTTATGTGTCTGCATCTCATCTAAATGAGAATCAAACACACTCCAACAAAGCAAAGTACTGATAACTAATGAATTTAAAGGCATCGTTTCTAAAGGGTTTCAATTTATAATGGACAGAGATAAAAAAAAAAATAAAAAAAAAAAAGACAGAATTAACCGTAATAAAGCAGATGCCTCTTGGTTTGGCTACACTGAGGCCCCTGTAGTAGATGTAACTGCCAGCAGAGATAAATCCCAGAGATCCTTGGTTCTTCAAGGCATAAATGGAATCTACTGCATCCCATTTGGACTCAGACGACCAAATTCCCATACGGAAAAATATCCATTAAGGAATCATCATATAAATTTAAAGGTTGTCTATAAATGTCAGAGGTTTCAGTTTAATTGCATTAGGTCCCCCTTAATGAGCCAGGATATTATCATTAACTAAAACTAAGGAAATAATGAAAACAAGAATGAAAAAAAATGTCAACTGAAATAAAAATAAAACTAGACCGTGCAAAAACAATGTGAACAGACTGTAATAATAGTTAATAAAAATAATTAGAACGGAACTGAAAGGTCGTAGGGAAACGGATGCTCCAACCGCTACATTTCCGAATTCTCCTGAGTGGTACCCGACTTTAGACGAGTAAATAAGCATCTTGCTAACCAGTTAGCAACTTTGTGCTAGTAGGTTCCCAATGGGAAATTCAACTGAGACCAAGTAGCACTAAATTGGTGACTTAGAAACGCCACTGTCAAGGAAAGCTATGGACAGAGGAAACATGCAAGAGGAGAGTTTAGTGTCAGAGGTCGTGGATGAGTCTCCTCCATCATACATTTTTTATTTAGAGGAGGAAAGCGGGGATGAAGTTGTTGTGGAAGAGGACGTCAGGGCGGCAGAAGCTTGGTTTGGTGTAGAAGGCTTCCAGCCGTACATGTTTGAGCCCTTGCCTCGCAACGCTGCCAGTTCTGTTAGCTCTACGCCTGATGAAGACACAGACGTCCATCCCTGTGAACACTGGGACGGAACTCAATGGGAAAGGGAATTATTCTTCTTTCAACCGTTGCGTAGTTGGATTGACAGATGACCGTTGATATATGATTGGCCAGATGGGTGTTCAAGCTGACGTATAACTAACTGGCCTGCATAAGATAACGAAAAAAATAACACAGATTTTAAGACGGGTTTTTTTACAAACAGAAATGTCCAAAGTTTGGGGAAAATATCGTCTGATAAACAGTACATTAATATATATGTTTAAGCCTTCAAATAAACTGATTTGACATTTAAATACGATTTCCCTACGACTTTAAAGAGAGCAAGTGCCTCACTGTAGTTTGTGAATCGATTTAAGGAAGTCCCTCCTTATTACCTATTCCTATTTCGGCTGTGTTTGCTTTTCTGTTGGCAGGGTTACTTAAAAGGTTATGACTCATTTTGTATACACAGAGAGTATACCAAGCAAAATTTAGTTTTGTTCAGCTTTCAGAACATTTGCATTTAATAAAGTAGAGCAGTGATCAAATGTAAACAGTGTGGGAGAAAAAAAAAAACGTGGTGCAAAAACGCATTGATATGGAAGTTCAGAGATTGATATATATGTTGCAAATAGGCAGTATTTTTGGTTTGGTGTTATCAGTGTGATGCAGAGTTTGTGGCATGACTTAGAGTTTTTGGTTATGGATGGATTTTTAATAACACTTTTTGTGTTAAAGAACAATCCATTAAACTTTGGTGATATAGAATCTGGATACAGGATTTTTTGTAAGGGATTTTTTTAATGTTATTTGGCAGAAAAAGCTGTTAAACCAGAGGGTGGCAACAGTAAGTATTTTCAAAAAGACAAGAAAAGGGACCCATGGCTCAATCCGCTGATCAGAGTGAACGAAGGTGAGAGCAGAACAGACACCAGAGGCTGCAGACACACGCCATGCCTTAATAATGAACATGAAAGGATTTTTTTCATTTTTACCAAATATGCACCTCATGCATTTGGTAATTATCCAGACCGTGTGAGTTTTACTTATAGATGTAGATCAAAAGCAAAATTCACTGCTTGGCAGAGGTCTGCGCTCTCTGAGTGGTGCCCAAGCTATGCAAGTCATATTACATAAAAGACTAAAACTAGAACTAAACCTAATAAAATCTAAACTGAAACTGAAGAATTTTCCACAAATAAAAACTAAATAAAGCTACCGTATTTTCACGACTATAAGGCGCACTTAAACGTCTTTTTTTCCCCTCAAAATGTGCGGTGCGCCCTTTGGTGCGGTGCGCCCTATGTGTGTTGTAACTGCGACTTTTGAGACCACCTCATTGAGGAGATGATGAAAGAGTGGCTGAATGTAAGGAGACCAGGTGTTTTTTTTCCACTCATCACCATCGCTGATGTGAAAAACATGGTGAAACAAATTAAGCTGTGCTCGCTGTTTGCTGGACATCGGTGTGAACCGGACCCAGCAGGTGCAGCAGAAGCAGCGAGTTTACATGCAAAGGCAATGGTTGACGCGCGTATAGGCGCAGCAAAAGGTCCCGCAGCGCGTTTTGAGCAGCAGGCGCAGCACGTCGGGAGCGTTTAAGCATCTGCCAACGCGCTGCTGCTGCTCAGATGGAAAAATTGAAGTTTTGCTGCTGGACGCGCCGCATCAACCAATCAGAGAAGCTGATCTGGGAGCTGACAGCGAGACAGACACAGCGCTCTGATGACATATGATATTAAGGCAAATGAAAGGGCTGGATGGATGAGGAGATGATAAAAGCGCGGCTGAGGCAGGTGTATGTGAGGAGACCAGGTGGTTTTTTCCACGCATCACCATCGCTGTTAATCTGTTACTGCGTGCCCATCTCACAGCCGATGTGAAAAAAAAGGTGAATCAAATGAACGCTGTTATCCCGGGAGGTCTGAGGAACTTCAACCGCTCGACATCGGTGTGAAGCGGCCGTTCAAAGTAAGGCTGCGAGCGGCGTGGGAGCGATGGATGACCGACGGAGACCACAGTTTCACGATAAGTGGAAGGCAGCGCCGGGCAAGTTACGCCACCGTTTGCGGATGGATTGTAGATGCTTGGACTAACGTGTCTGCTGGCTCTGTTGTTCAAGCTTTCGCAAAACCCGGCATTATTTCTGAGGAGCCGCGCTGCACGGAAAGTGACTCTGACAGCGAAGAAGGAGAAATTGGCATGTCTGATTTAGCGCAGCTGTTTAATTCAGAAACAGAGGATGATGACTTTGATGGGTTTGATTAATACTTTGTAATAAATACATGAATAAAGCACAAACATACTCAGTTTTGCTCCCGCTCTATTTTTCTACCTGAAAACTTAATTCAACAGCAGCCTCTGGGCCGGGTCTCCTCCTCTTCACCGCGGCGGCTGGCAGGTGTTTTTTCATCTAAATAATCTAAATCTTGCAGCTATATTTGCTGGGATCAGTGGGAATAAAGTAGTTTTAATATGTTTTTAAGTGAGAAAGTCCACCTGAAAACTTCATAATTGCAGTCAGTTCATCCAGATTATTATCCTGCCTATACTATTTCTGTCGGAGGCGCTCAGACCCCCACATACCAGCGGTGCAGTAGAAATCCCTTCATCAGCAGCCTCTAGGCTGGGCAGCCTCCGGGTTCACGCGGTGGCTGGCAGGTGTTTTTCATCTAAATAATTTAAACTGCAGGCACCAGGATACCGGTAATAAAAGCGAACATGTTCCGTCGGCAGGTTTTAGGAGTTTAATTTAATTTAGGAGTGATCACAGCGCTGTGTCATCTGCAATGTGTCTGTCTCACGGCCAGCTGCCAGGTTTGATTAATACTTTGTAATAAATACATGAATAAAGCACAGTCATACTCAGTTTTGCCCCCGCTGTATTTTTAAATACGCAGTAGAGGTATTTAAAGGTAGTAGAGGACATGTACCGGTATATAAAAAACGCGCCCTATAGTCCGGTGTGCCTTATGGTCGTGAAAATACGGTAGTTTTAAAAAAAAGTACTAAAATAGAATATAAAATCAGAAGTCAAACACAAAAAAAGAAAATGTCTAAACTATTTTAGCCTTGTTAATCAGTCTCAGACAGTACTTGTGTAATCTCTAGGTTAGTGAACATGTAGCTACGCCATTTATTGCGTTAAAGCAGGAAGGAATAAGCTGTTATCAGCTTGTAGTAGCAGCACAGTGTTTAACCTGATCCCTCAGCACAGCAGCTACCAACTGCAACAGGTTAAGATGGACGCTCAGTTCAGAGGTAAATGGAATCAGGATAAAGTAGCAGAAGTGAAAATTAAGAAACCGGTAGCCTCAAACACGTCCACACATTCCTTCAATCTAGACTTTGGACTTCACTCACTGCAGACGACTTAAATTCAAAGAATGATTACAGAACACTGAGGTAAAGACTCCACCTACTTTTCCCTGCTTTATGTTTCCTAACTTATCTCCAGTTACAGTAGTTTCATTTTTGTATTATTAATTTGTTTTACAGTGAAAGCCATGTGCGCCCTCCCCCCTGCCTCCTCACCTGAGTCCAGCAGAAGGAGATCCCGGGCTGTGAGTAGCCAGACCGTGAGGGTTAGAAAAGTTCTGTAGCTCCTCTTCTGACAACATCACAGCAGACAGAGCACACAACCACAGAAACATCACTTCATGGCTCAACAGTGAAAAGAAAGTACAAAATTCACAGTTAAAGCTACTGATCGTACTCATGTTACATAAGGAGTGAAATGCAAAGACTGCTGGAGGGGAGAACATTTATAGGAGCAAAGGGACAAAAATGGTGAGTAGTAGTCATATTTAACATGTAGTACATCAGGGATTCTTTAGTCAGAGCTAAATCGGGGAGTATTTCTTCCTTCCACTTAATTTCCAATATATATTAATACTAATACAAACGCGTTACCTTCTAGTGTCTCCTTCTCCGAGTCCGAGTCCCAGCTCAGAGAGGAAGGAAAGGCAGAGGACTTGAATCTCCTGGGCTGCTCGGAGTCGTCGCCCCACGCGCACTCAGCTGCCATCAAGCCATCGCTCTGATTGGGCGAAGATGAGGACTAGATGACAGAAGGACGAGCAACCAGAGTTAATGGAGAAAACAGCAACGATGACGATGGTGGTGAAGGTCTTACCTCTAAGCTACAGTTGAGGAAGTTGGAGGGGATGGGATTCTTTGCTGCAGGGTAGGATAGGTGCCCATTGCTGGTCCCTGGGGTTAGGGGTTGCTCATCTGGCTCCATGGTCCCCCCCCCCCCCCCCCCCTCAGAGAATGGAGTCCCACTTGCAAACAGCCTCCCTACATTGTGCAACCTCCTCTGAGTCTGAAACGTCAAAAACACATGAACTTAAGTTTTTTTTTTTTTTTTACAATTGCAACAACTTTATAGAGCCGCGTGCTGCAGGGATGTGCAAAGCAGAGCAGGAAATAAGTGCAGATTCTGGTCTAATCTGCAGGATCCGGTCATAGTTGCAATGATCGTGTTTCCCTGCTTCGGTTTCACCGTTTAGGGATCAAACGGGGCGCCCGGATGGTTACATAAATAAGTGGCCTTTATATTCAGGCCCATGTCCTCCTCTGCCTGCTGCCCCTGCAGGAAGCAGGGAACCGGACCGAGGTGTCTGCTGCCTCCCTCTGTCTGTCTCTGCGGACGTGGCTCTTATCGATCTGTCAGCTGACTGGATCTTTAACACATCCGCGCACATTGAGCACTTTTTTTTTTAATTGCAGCTGTGTTGATTTCTTTTTTTTTTTTTCTTTTTTTTTTTTTTGCGAGTACTCACTGAAATCGGCCTGGTTTGCGCGTTGCACAAGCTGAGCCACAGTCTACGCACCGTCCGACATAGTTTGTGGGTCCGGACCGGAGCTGAAGGAGCCGAGCAGGAGGCTCCAGAGGCGGACTCGCTCAGCCCGCCCCCTCCTCCCCGGGTCCGGGTCTGGGTCTGGGTCTCTATGCGCCGCTCAGGTTTTTCGGTAGGATCCCTCCTCGGAGGTGCCAGGCGGAGGACTCCATGTTATTGAGCTCGCAGGCGCGCCACGGCTGCGTGCGTAACGTCAGCGGGGAGGGCCACGGAAAGAGTTTGGAAGAACCCACCCGGGGGGAAAATTTAATTAAGCAAACTTTCACCACTGCGCTTCTTCCTCTTTTAAGCACATTTATTTTGTCTAAAATGTTTTTTTTATTATCCTCTTTATTAAAACATAAATATATATCTTATAATAAATCGCAAAAAGGAAGATAATAAAGCTACACATTTATCAAAGTATTTTTTTAGTTGACATCCATTCAATTTATCTTTCATTTTATATTCAATAATATTTTTATTTCCACGTATTACACTGTAAGTACACAGCTGTTCCCGTTCTTGGATACGTAGGTATCCAGATTTTAGTGAGGAAAATCTTTGTTATATTTAATTTCTGTCGATTAATTCATTTAACATTAATAAAGGCTGAAAATAAAACGGCGCATATTTATGAGACCGTGGGGTTGGCGCCCCCTGGTGGCACCCGGAGACACTGCGTTTCTTGGGGACTTTTAAAGTCACTTAAACATGTATATAAATGTACTCTTTATCAGGCTATATTGTCCCAAAATTTAGAAAACTTCTCTTTAAAAAAAAAAAAAAAAAATCCTGTCTTAAAATCTGTGTTATTTTTTTATGCAGGCCAGTTAGTTATACGTCAGCTTGTACACCTAAATTCGGCCAATCATACATCAAAGGTCATCTGTCAATCAAATTTTTTCGTACATAGCATCTTGACTCATATGTTGCAACTAATATACGCAACGGTTGAAATAAGAAATAAGAATCATTTCCTTTCCCATTGAGTTCCGTCCCAGTGTTCACGGGGATGGACGTCTGTGTCTTCAGCAGGCGTAGAGCTAACAGAACTGGTAGCATTGCGAGGCAAGGGCTCAAACATGTACGGCTGTAAGCCTTTCACACACAATTAAAGCTTCTGCCGCCCTGGTATCTTCTCCCACAACATGTTTGTCCCCACTTTCCTCCTCTAAATAAAAAATCTATGACGGAGGAGACTCATCCACAACCTCCTCTTGCATGTTTCCTCTGTCCATAGCGTTCGTTGACAATGTCGTTTCTAAGTCACCAATTTATTGCTACTTGATCCCAATGGAATTTCCCATTGGGAACCTACTAGCACAAAGTTGCTACCTGGTTAGCAAGATGCTTCTGACAAACTGGCCACAGCCAAACTTGCTTGCGAACCTTCCGCCTCAACAATCCTTGATAAATGACCAATCACATTCACTTTATTCACTCGGGCAGAAAGTCGGGCACCACTCGGGGAATTCGGAAATGCAACGGTTGGAACAGCCATTTCCCTGCGACTTTAAAAGATATTTTGGAGTTCAGTTCGATGCTGTAACCAGGAGAGGATTTACCATTTGCCAATACTAGGCAGTTGTCTAGGGCTCCAAGTTATTGAGGGCCCCATAAAACTCTGTTCACATGTATGGTTAATACAACTATTATTTATTTGCGCACATTATGTTTTGGATTAAAATCTGTAAAAATGCTTTTGCTAAAATGCATATTATTACAAATAAAAAATAGAGAACAGATAAGCAGATCATGGCTCATCTACGTACAGTGAAAAGAAGGACTGGGTTATTTACTTTTGCCATTGCCTTTTTGAAAACACAGTAAGGAGCAATCAGCTAAGTGAGCTTAGTGATTGGAAAAATTCTTTCATTTCTTTTGAGATAGCATGAAAAGTCAGCTGAGTGCAAAACATAGAGAAGAAAACAACTAGAAAAGGGACAAGAAGAGAGACAAAAAGTAGGACAAATTATGTATTTCTATTCAATTAACATTTCTGTATCTGTATAATGGGTCTGTTTTATGTGTTGCCTTCTCAATTTAGAGGGCCCCCTGCCTGTCTTTGCCTAGGGCCCCAAGTTTCCTAAATCTGCCCTTGCACTTAACATTTGTCAACGATCAGATACCTTACCTGTAACTTATGCCCCATGTATGGCATAAGTGGCATACGTCAAGAAGTACTTGCCATATTTTGATGTGTGCCAGCGTGTTTCAGCATGCTCATAACTGATACAAAACGTACCCATAGATTATTCAATATATGCAAGCTGTAGGCCTGCTCAGTGGGGCAGTGGGTAGCACTGCTGTCACTGCAGCAAGAAGGTTCTGGGTTCAATTCCAGACCTGGGATCCTGAGCATATATATATATTTTAACATTCTGAACGTTGCAGACTCCTGATCTAACAAATTAAAACTATGATCCTATCTTAGTACAACTGAAGCTTAAAGTGGACTATATTACTATTAAACTAAATTGTCTAGTCAAAAGATAAAATTGGTTAAAAGGAACAAATCAGTCACAGTCTCTTCTCTCATATTGATTTAGAATTATAATGCAAAAACTGATATAAAGAAGTGAAAATGTTGTTTCCTTAATTTAAACAGGTAAATAAGATGATCTGAGGGCTGCACAGTAGTGCAGTGGGTAGCACTATTACCTTGCACAAGAAGGTTCTGGGTTCAGTTCCTGTCCTGGGGTCTTTCTGTCTGGAGTTTGCATGTTCTCCCTGTGCATGCATGGGTTCTCTCCAGGTACTCCAGCTACCTCCCACAGTGACTCTTAGGTTAATCAGCTTCTCTACATTGTCCTTAGGGGTGTGTGTGTGTATGTGTGTATACCTCTCTAGCCATCAGAGTGAGGACAATTTTTTCCAATTTCAACATCTGATTGAGGACCATGCAAAGTGAGGACATTTTGCTGGTACTAACAAGTAATTTTGCTGCCGGTTAAGTTTAGGGCTAAAGTGTCAATTGGGTTAGGATTAGGGGGAGGTATGCATTGGTAATAGTTACGTTTTGGGTTAGTTTTAGGGTTAGGGCACAGAAATGGCTGAAATTTACAGAGAATCAATGGAAGTCAACACATGATCCTCACTACATATAGCAGAATGAGTACAGTATGTGTGTGTAGGTGTGTGCATGGTTGTGTGTCTCTTGGTTGCCCTACGACAGAATGGCAACCTGTCAAAGGTGTATTCCACCTCTCACTTGTAGTATGAGACAGAGACTGGTCTCACCACGACCATGACAAGAACTTAGCGGGAGAAAAGGTGAGGACCGATGAATAAGTTGATCTGCTATGGGGATGACTAATTCTGCTCTTAAAACACGATTATTTTGTATTTGTATTTTGCTCTTGAAATAAAATAATGGAGATTCAATTTTTGTCAGGATTTTCTTTTTGATGAAAGCACACCACACACACGGAGCCAGTCTAGAAGGTTTATTGAAAGTTATGAGTGTTGGATGAAGGTAACCAGAGGCTGTACCGAACTGGAACTGGAGGTGTAGATCAGCATCAGCTGCAGTAATCCACAAGGAACAGCGAGAGCTACTGGAGAAACCGAGGCTGCAGTAATCCGCAGGACGACAGAGTGAGTTCTGGGTGAAGCAGAGTTTTTAATAAATCCACAGGACCACAGAGAGTTTGACTGAGCTGCTGTAAAACCCCAGGTGCAGACGAGAGAGTTCAAAGGGCAGAAGGCAAAGATTCAGCAGCACAGCAACGGAAGCACAGAACCTGACTGACGAGGTGTTGGGTTAGTGGAGACTGAATAGGAACCGGTGGGGAATAGCTCAGTGAGGGAGGTTCTCGTAGATAGGCTGGCAGGTGGAGCGAGTATTGACTAATTGGTGCCTAACAGGTGTGACTAATTGCTGAGGGAGTGGAGGCCGAGCTGTGTGAGAGGAGGAGGTGCTGGAGGCGATAGCCAGGCCAAAACAGAACCATGACATCTTCTTCCTTTCATCTCAAATCATCTTATTCTGTCTGCAAATTGTCTTACCTCCTTATTTTATTCACGTTTGTGGGTGTTTTCAGTATAGGGGCCATAACAGCTCCCTTTGGGCCCCTGTCTAGAAGTGTCCATGCTTGTTACACATTGAATGCTGAAACCTTTGGCTTGTAGCAAACTTCAGAAGCTACTTTTTTTTTTAAATTTCCTTTTATTAACTGAACAGTCTTATGTCTATTCTGCAAAGTCCTGATCTATTTGCACCGGTCTGTCCACCTGCACTGTGTACCTTATCTTGACCTTTTTTTTCCTGATTGTTTTCTTGTTGGCTTCTTTCCTGGTTCTTCTTCGAAAACATGCTTATTTTTGTGTTGGTCACTTAATATCCAAAGAACACGGGTATAAATCTATGGTTGTAATATGACAAAGTCATTTTTTAAAAGAACTGCACTATGGGAAACTTAAAAAAGCTGTGAATCTTGATAAGGGCAAGCAGTCAGGCAGTTTAGTGAAGCAGATCCTTAAAGGAATAGTACACCCAAAATTCAATTCAATTCAATTCAGTTTATTTATATAGCGCCAAATTCACAACACATGTCATCTCAAGGCACTTTACAGTTCAAAACATGATTAGCCTTCATTTTCTACTCACCCCCATGCTGAACAACACTCTGGAGTACTTTTTTGATATCTCAAATGCATCTGGAGATCTGGGAGGCTTCTTGCTATCTGCTGACATTGAAATAATGGAGGTCTATGGCGCCCGAGGCAGAAAGGTCCATAAAAGTCCACAAAAAACGTGTCAATATTCCTCCATACTGCTCGTCCAATGTATTCCAAGTGTCCTGAGTGGGTAGCGTCCATAATTTACTCGAAACAAAGTAATTTAGAATGTTTTTAGAGCATAAACAGTAGTGTATAGTATTTTCTAAAAGCGCGCGGCTGCGAGTTCACGAGCCTACGGAAACCGCGGCAGACCAAACCAGATGAAAGTGCACATTCAGCGTCTGCTCTGCCGATAATGCAAGCGTAGAAGAAGAAATGTGCTGTTTACCTGTGCAAAGAAAGAAACAACGAAAGAAAAATGTCTGAGGACTTCAGTGTTGAGGAAGAGCATGAGTTCTTTGCCGAG